AAAATTCCTATATGTTGGAAAATTTTGTGTTTTCAGGCAGCAGTCTACCAGAGGCCTTAGTGAGAACGTAAAAGTGTGAAAGGACCCTAACCCAGTAACTTTTATTTAATTCAAATACTTAATGCATAATTTACAGTAGTTGCACCTTGTAGATCATAAAATACAATTCTGACCAGGTAATTCTACAGAGTTATTGAAATTCAACACTAAATCCACATTCAAACTTGAGAATTTTTCAGCTTTTTTTTTTTTATACCCTACATATTAGCACATTATGACAGACTTCCCTTTTGAAAAGATGTCCTCTAGCGCTGAGCTGTCACCACACCCCGATACTTCTATCTTCATCTGGTCTTTCTTTCGTGTTTGCACTCTACTGCTGCTTGGAAGGCCAGGCCTCGTGATGTCTCTCCTGCACATGTGCACGGGAGTCACCATCACAGCACAATGCTTTCTGCAATCACGGCAGTACAGAGTGTGCCATGGATGCAGAGGTAACTAAATCTATTAAACTGCAATTTAAGATGATTTTAAACATACTTTCAAGGATGATATATTTCAAGCCTTAATTCAGGGGAATGTGCAAATGTTGGGTTTAACCACTTGCCCTCCAGAGGATTTCCCCCCCTTTCCTGACCAGGCCATTTTTTGTACTATGGCGCTGCGTTACTTTAACTGACAATTGCGCGGTCAAGCAACGCTGCACCCAAATTAAATGTATGTCCTTTTTCTCCCACAAATAGAGCTTTCTTTTAGTGGTATTTGATCACCTGTGCATTTTTTGCGCTATAAAAAAAAAAAAAAAAAAGACCGACAATTTTGAGAAAAAAAAAAAAAAACGATAATTTTGACTTTTTGCTATTAAACATGTCCAGCAAATTTCATCGTAAATTTGGAAAACATGTATTCTGCTACATGCCTTTGCTAACAAAAATCCCAATATCTATAACTTAATTGGTTTACGTGAAAGTTATAGCGTTTACAAATGGCGATATATACTGTATACTGGGTTTGGGGGAAAAAAAAAAGTTTTCTTTTTACTAGTAATGGCAGCGATCAACGACTTATAGTGGGATTGCGGTGGGCATTCTGACACTGGGGGGAACTGACTTGGTGTCACTGACATTCCCAGTGACACCAATAGAAATCAGTGCTAATGAAATCACTGACACTGTACTAATGACACTGCGCAGGAAGGGGTTAACATGTGGGGCGATCAAAGGGTTAACTGTGTGCCATTTAAGTGTGGGCTGTGTTAGTGCTTTCAACTGTAAGTGCACTGCTTTGCATGGCTCTGCTATACAGAGCCATACAAAGCAGTGTGCAGGAGCTGACAGGGGAGAAAACTGTATTGCTTACATACAGTTCTCTTCCTCCGTCGGTAATGCTCCTCGATCACCAGGTGCCGGGTGAGTAATCACCGACACCCCGTGATTGACAGCCGAGGCTGCAAACAGCGGCGCAGGTTGGGGACACGTGCGGCTCATGCGCTCCCCCTACCCGGAGATGCGAAATTACGTATATATACACTGATACACAGATATATTGCCACAGGGCGGCGTGAAAGCGGTTAATACTGATTTAACCACCTCAATACCAGACACTTTCACCCCCTCGTTCCTGCCCAGACTAATTTTAAAGTTTGCGGTGCTGTCACACTGTGAATACCAACTACTCAGTCATGCAACACTGCACCCAAATTATTTTTTTTTTATCTTTGGAGACAAATAGAGCTTTCTTTTGGTGGTATTTAATCACAACTGTTTTTTTTTTTTTTTTTTTTCCCCCCCTTTTTTTATAAAAATACAAAAACAAAAATGTTGAAAAAAAACAAAAAAAAACACGCGATTTGTTATAAACGTTTGCACATAATTCTTTATAAATTTAGGCAAATGTATTCTGCTACATTTCTTTGGTAAAAATAACCCTAACCAGTGTATACTAAAGTCTGTGTGAAAGAGTCTACAATTTATCGTGTATATATACTTGAAAATTGATCAAATCAGGATGTACTGATGGCCTATCATTTCTTGAGGCCCTAAAATGCCAGGACAGTATAAATAACCCCCAGATGACCACTTTTCAAAAAGCAGACAGTCCATGATATTTAGTAATTTTTGAAGTTATGACTTTATCACAGAATGTAAAAATGTGAAAAAAACTTCTTAATTTTCCAAAAACTGTCACCAGTGCAGTACAGCATCATCATACGACTGGTGTGACAGTGATCAGGCATACTGACTTACAGTATGTAAAAAAAAAGTTTAAAAACTGACCAGAACAGTGCAGAATTACCATAGTGACACTGTACTACTCTAGGAAGGTAATTTTGTTTTGTTTTTTTTACAATGTGATTTGCTTGTTACAGTGATAATGCAATCGTTTTAACGGTCAAGCACGGCTTTTACTCATGACAGCTTGCTTACTATTGTGATTCTGTGATTAGCTACAGCTATCACATGGTACAAGGCCACTGTAAATTGCCTTTCACTATATAATAACTGTAACCGATCACAATATTAAGCAAGTTGTCGTGAATGGCTGCCATTCATGACAGTTTTGTTTACATGTTATGTGATCGCTATAATCGGTGTGCGGCTGGTAGACACAGCGGTCGCAGGATCGCACAAGCAGGACTATGTCCCTGGATGTCCTTCCAGAACGTCAAAACCAACAAATATATCGACTATACAGTGGGCGGGAAGTGTTTAAGGAAACCTTGATCAACACCGCAAGAGCCAAATTACTTGCATGGACTAAGCATGTAATTTGAATAAAGTCACCTTTAGGCTATTAACTAGGCTTTAGGCTATTAACTAATAATTTGCAGATATCCATACATAATTATACCACCACTTCACAGCTTCCATGCCATCTTACTACCTCTATCCTTCTCATTAGAGAAGGAACTGCCATGGCTACACTGAACATTGCCCAATGAGTAGACAAATAACAGATAGCTATAAAACAGAAGCAGGAAATATTAGGATTTTTGGTTTACCTGTAAAATCCTTTTCATGGAATATAATCACAGGACACAGGATACTTCATACTCATCACTACTTGGGTTAAGCTGCCACCTTAAGGTGAAATGGACATTGGCCATAAATACACAGAAATTCCCCAACCAGGCACAACATCTCGTAGTTCAGCCAAGTCTCAATTTTGTAGCAAGCAGCAAGGAACAAACAAAGAGGGGAGAGATTCCTGTGACTCATGGTGTTTACAGGTAAACCAAAAATCCCAATTTCTTAATGGATAATATTAACACCACAGGACACAGCGTACTACAAATTCATGACTAATTTTAAATGTCCCAAAACTGAACATGAGGGGTGGGCAACACAGCAACAAGCCAAAACCCAAAACAAAATAGGGGAAGCACCCAATACAAGGCCAAATGCAAGACCTTTCAGCCCAAACTGGTAGTTGCTTAGTTCTACCTGGTGGAGCTTTATTAAACATGTGAAGAGAAGATCAAATGGCAAGCCTTACAATCTGGAACCTGGTTGAATAGACCTTGACCAGAAATAAATGAACCTTGACCTTAACACTGTAGTCCTGAGTGATAAGCTGATGAAACCAACTAGAAATAGTGGAGCAAGAAACAGCCTGACTTTGTGAAGACCCCTCACGTAAAACAACAAAAGACTGACTGTGGAAGCAAAGCTGTATACTTCAGAAAAACTTGGAACAGAATCACAACACATCAAAAGAGTGAGTGAGTGAGTAATGCCTACTGCACACAATGAGAATATCAGACGAATGATCGTCAGGTTTTTTTTTTGCTTTATAGTCTCCATTACAAAAATGAAGAGGTTACTCAACTCGAAAATTCTTGTACGACTGAATAGAATTCTGAAAGTGATGTCATGTATTGTACTGTATTTTCAGACGACTACTGTACTGATGAACAAAAATTGTAAGATCTAGTATTGTACAAGAAAAAAATTTTGTGCTTGTCCCTTCAGATATTATTGCATGAATTGTCGTGATCAACTCTCGAAAGCTGTGTACGGACGATCAGATTGTCAGATGATTGGTCTTCGTACAAAATTTCTGCATGATTTTCTTATTATGTGTGTCCATCAGCAAATTATACTTTCCTTTTCTTCATCTCCTGCTGCTATCACTGGTACTTCTGGATATAGGGAGCATGTAACTTGATCTACTTCTTCCCAAGTAAACACACTGGTGCTTGGTGACTTGCCACTCAGGCTTTCAGCAGTTTGAAATGATAGCAGGGAGAGCGAGTCTTCAGCCCTGTGCAAGCTCCAAGTCATGACTTGGACCTTACCCTGGCTATCTGTCTTTGCCGTAAATGGACAATTAAAGATGCAGTGGGGAGTGAGGGTAGTATAAGCTACTGTCTTGGCAATAGGGTAAAACAGGTTTCCTATAAAAGTGACTGTTTTGTCAAAATATTAATGGAAATAAATTGTTCCCTACAAAAAAAAAAAAAAAAAAAAAAAAAAAAATTGTAAAGACTCGCTTCTTCCACTGACTACTTTGCATATCTCTGTAACTAAAAAGCAATTCTGTCTGACTAATCTGCATAATCAGACACTTCTGTAAGTGAACGTTGAGTGAAGCAGGGGACCAGGGATCAAACAACCGAGGGCCCTGTCCTGTCCTGTAGAGGCAAGTGGGGGGAAACCACTGAATGCAGTGGGGGACCAGGGAACTGACTCTTGGAAGTTATACCTTTTGGTTTGCCATGCACGTGCAAAGCACAGACAATAACAATAAAAAGCACTTTAAAAGACAGTACAACTATTCAGTCAAGTCACTTGTTGCATGCTAGATGAGTTATTTTCAATTTAATTAAAAAAAAAAAAAAAAAAAAAAGGGGATTTTTAACAAGCTTGTACTAGGTCTCTAGAGAACAGTTTTAATGGCTTGATAAATCAAAGCAGTGATCAACAAAAGGCTGCTAACATAACAAAGGTTATACATAAACACACCTTATATGCTGCTACAAAATTTAGATAACTCCCAACTCACCCTTCACTATCTAGTACATCTTTAATGCTAGCCTTGGTAATAATAGCATCATCACACTTGAACCACTGGTCTTTGTGTTGTCTGATGAAACTTGTATAATGCCCACTCTCCAAGGTTCCCTGGTGGTTAACTACGGCAAACAAGGAATACCTGCAAAAACACAAAACAAAATAAAAGAAACCATTATACACACTGTTTAAAGTATCATGTTCTGGAAAAACATGAAAATATGTGCCAAGATAGATCAAAAAGAGGAGCAAAATTGCCATATGGGGCATATTCATTAATTGTTTCTCGACCTGTACCTGTCCGTCTCCAACTTGTTACTCTGGCTTCATCTCACTTATATGGTCTTAAATGCACTGGGAAACTAAACTGTATTCTAGCACCATTACATTTTTACCTAGACATATCAGATGATCATCACCGGTCTTGGATGACAACCCTAGTTCCCAAGTTCATAGAAGCAGCAAATACCTGCGCTTTGCCCACTTTCATAAGGTTGCTATAGCTTGTCAAACTACAATATTTCCTACAGCAATAACTTTATGCTGGGGATATCACCTTGCCATTTCCCCTCCATAGCAAAAACATCCAGTACACAGGTGATCAAAATACAACTGCTTAACTAAATAGTCTTCAAAGACATCTTCCAACAATCGGATTGCACCAACACATGAGACTTCTTGAAGAACTAGGTACAACCCCAATTCCAAATAATTTGGGACGCAGTGCCAATCTACATATAAAACAGAATGCAATGATTTCCAAATTTCATAAACCCATATTTTATTCACAATTAAAAAAAAAATAAAAATTTTAAACTGAGAAAATGTACCAATTTAAGAAAAAAAAAAATGGTAAGTTTAAACTAATTGCCCTCCAGAGGCTTTACAACTCTTCCTGACCAGGTCAGTTTTTGCAATACGGCACTGCGTTACTTTAACTGACAATTGTGCGGTCAACAACAGAAATGAAATTTATGCCATTTTTTTCTCCCATAACTAGAGCTTTCTTTTGGTCGTATTTGATCACCTCTGCGGTTTTTATTTTTTGTTCTATAAACGAAAAAAAGACAGACAATTTTGAAAAAATAAAACAACATTTTTGACTTTTTGCTATAAAACATACCCAGTGAAAAAAATAAAAAATAAATAAATTTCATCATAAAAATTTAGGACAAAATGAATTCTGATACATCTTTGCTAAATAAAAATCCCAATATGTGTAAATTAATTGCTTTGCATGAAAGTTGTAGTGTCTACAAATAGCGGTATATATACTGGAATTTTTTTTCTTTCTTTTTTTTTAATAGTGGCGGTGATCAGCGACTTATTGCGGGACTGCGGTGGACATTCTGACACTGGGTGGAACTAACTGCCACTGACATCCCCAGTGACACTAACAGTGATCAGTGCTAATAAAAAGCACGGTCACTGTACTAATGACACTGGGCACGAAGGGGTTAACATCTGGCACAAAGGGTTAACTGTGTGGTGTCTTTTACATAGTGTGCTGTATGCGTTTTACTATGTAGACAAGCTGCTTTGTATTGCTCTGCTGTGCAGAGCAATACAAAGCAGCCTGTTCGTGCTGCCAGGGGAGAGATCTGTGTTGTTTACACATAGACCTCTCTCGTCAGCTTCGCCGATGATCACAGAGTCCCTGCTGAAAATTGGTGGCCAGGACCCGGTGATTGACATGCTGAGGAGCCAATAGCAGTGCAGGTAGGGAGCATGCGCGTGCTCCCCCTACCCAGAAATACAAATCACTTATATATACACGTGATTTTGCGCATCCCTGTTGTCCTGTAGCAGTACTTCTGCTATAGGGAGGCCGGAAGCGGTTAAAATTGATGGCTGATTTTTGCCTGATATAGGATTCGATCTGCTCAATAGTTCTGGGTCTTCAGCACATCTTAAAACAAAAAATATTACAATTTGCAATTGGTGAAAGAACTGGACTGCAGGCAGGCCAGTTAAGCACAAGGACTCTTCTACGACGAAGCTATGCAGCTGTCATAGATGCCATATGCAATTTAGCATTGTCCTGCTGAGATAAGCAAAAAGATGTCGTCTGAATGGGAGTGGGTGAGGAACCCCCCAAAGTGTAATAAAGAAAAATAGTGAGGCCAAGAAACACCGGAAAAAAAGAGAGAGCAAAGGCAGAAACTTGACCAGCATGGCACGCAGGGGCTCTCTATAAAATTATTTATTAGCACCCAGATTAAAAATACTTACAAAATATAAGAAACAAGCCAGCATATACGTTACGCCCTAGATTCAGGCTTCCTCAGTCGGACAGCAGGCCAGAAGGCCTACTAAGGAAGCCCAAATCTGGGGCGTAACGTGTATAGGTGGAAGGAGCTGAGCTCTAGACATTTTGGATTGATGACGGGAGAGCCGGGTGGTGAGCCATGTAATGAAATATACATTATATGCTGCCTTGTTTCTTACATTTTGTAAGCGTTTTTAATCTAGGCACTAATAAATTCTTTTAAAATAGAGGACTATGGTTCCACTTTTCTGTTTTCAATAATACATATTAATCTGTTTAGCAACGTAATTATTTCAAGAACGTAGTTTGAATTATATTTATAGGGCAGCACAGTGGCTAAATGGTTAGCACTTTCGCCTGGCAGTACTAGGGTCATCGGTTCAAATCCCAACCACGGCACCACCTGCCTGGAGTTTGCATGTTCTCCCTGTGCCTGCGTGCGTTTCCTCCAGGTACTCCGGTTTCCTCTCACACTCCAAAGACATGCTGGTAGGTTAATTGGATCCTATCTAAATTGGCTCTAATATGTGTATGTATGAATGTAAGTTAGGGACCTTAGATTGTACACTCCTTGAGGGTTAGGGACTGATGTGAAACTTACAATATATATGTAAAGCGCTGCGTAAATTGATGGTGCTATATAAGTACCTGAAATAAATAAATAATAAATACGAGTGTGTCAGCTGGAGGAGTGTATACTGTAGCGGTGCAAGGAGAGGAGCTGGAGGAAGACTACAGAGGGTGTACACAAGTGTGTCCGTATGTTGAGAAATTAATTACCTATTGATGAGGTCATAAAATGAGGTGAGCAGGTTTTTCACCTAATGGTGATGGCAAGGAAGAAGGGAGAAGATTTATAATATACACATCGCTGGTGGTGTTATAAAGAGACTTTTTCATGGGACAATAATTGTTTTTTATTGATTTTTATATGAGATATTAGTTTGTTGCATTACACTTTATTATTTATTTTGAAACAGGTGTTGAGAAGTCACGAATAGCAAGTATTTGGAGCGCTATCATATTATTTTAGGGTGTGTTGTGCTGACTGAATAGGGGATTTAAAAAAAAAATGGATATATTGACTATAGCAGAGGGGGTTTTGTACCAGCTAGGATTGCCCATAGGTGGTGCTGTGTTATTTTATGCCTAGTGTCCTACTCCTGTAGGTGGCGATATAACCCTATGATCAAGATTCAGGGGAGCCATGTCCTTCAATGAACGTAGGAGAAATATAGGTTCATGAGATGTGCAAATCATTGCAGTCTGTTTATATGAAGATTTTACACATCGATCGAACTTGATGAAATTGGGGTTGTATTTATTCTCACAGACATTCAGTTTCATTGTTACTCTCACACTGAATATCTTAGTCATTCACACTTTCCCTCTCATCCATTTACTATGTGAGGGCTACACCTGAAGTTGTACAATGACATGGCACCACAAACTTTAAGAAAAGCATCTAGTAAATAGCAAAAAAAAAAAAAAAGTTGAAATGGTGAAACCCATCAGGGATCGGATCTGGGTCAGGTATTGGGGCAGGAGATTGGGGTGTGTGGTGTCGGCTGATCTTGTGGTGCCCATGCTGTGTTGGTAGTCTGGCCGTGATCTTCTGCATCCTACCAGATCTGCTCCATGTGCCAGGAGAGGTGAGTGAGCCATAAAACTTGGGAATTAGTTTCAGGGCTCCACCTCGGAGGACATAGTCTCGGCCAGGTTGTGGCTGCTAAACGATTTCCAGGACTCTAGCTGGAGAACGGTGGCAGAGCAGTCTCAGATCCAGAGGAGGGAGTCTCTTCCCATGCTGTCTGTTTGGTCCACTTAAAGGGGGCTTCCTGCAAATCCTTGGTCATTATATGATTCAACACATTGCGCTTTTACTATGCGCATCTGTTGAGTGTGCATTTTTATCAATTCCCTGCACAGATTAAAGTCACATGGAATAATTTGATGCCACATGTGCAACAGGATTCGTGCACAGCACAATTTTCTGACCGGTGTTTGTCAGACCCTCACCATCATATGAACACTTCCTTTGCTTTATGACTTTCAGAGCCGCACTTGTTTAATTGCGCTCATTGCAGCACTTCATTCACTCCTGTGTTATCACTTGTATTTAATATCTTCATATTAATAATATTTTGAGTATTGCACTTTTATATATTAATTTTTTCAGCGCTGCACCAATTTTTGTTTATGTTTTATAGAAGGACTTGGGTTCCCTTTTAGTGCATTTGCTGCTGACCTCATCAGAGTCTTGAGCACTCGCGGTTCTTGTATTCAATACTAAACCCTGTTTTATGTCATGCAGAAGCTTGAAGGAACCCTGTTAGTCACTTAAAATCCAGCTAGAGGTTCCTCTCTGGCAGCCTATGTTTTTTGTCTTTCTTACCTCTGCTTCAGCACTACAGCCTCTGTATCTTCTGACCCTTCTGGGAGTATTGGATTCCTGTGTCCCCTGCCACGCAGGGTGGATCCACCTCTGACCCCTATGTTATACTGCTGCAGACCCACACTGCATGGCTGGTGAACATGGGCAACTGATACTCCCAGAACGGTCGAATGCGGAAGAATCTGAAGGAGGCTGCAGCACAGCAACAAAGTGAAAGGAGGATACACTGGGAGCTGGAGAGGAGAGTACAAGAGATATACTATTGCAGAGAACCCCTATTTTGTATTTTTTAAATTTTTTTTTTAAACGAACAAGATTGTGCTGAACGAAAAAATTGTATTTAACAATGATGATCAGTCTGCATTTTTAAAAAAAATAATGTATACCCATTCATGTGGAAGTTACATAATACAAAACATTTCACCCTGCAGTACTTTTTTTTTTTTAAAAGTGAGAATACACTGGAGCCAATTCAGTAAAAAGGACAAAAGGAAACGGGAAACAAGCCTGACCAGTATCTGGGTCCTTAGCAGACTTTGAGGATAGTTACCTGAAAGAGTCACAACTTAACACCTAGAGTGGATATAAAAAGTCTACACATCCCTGTTAAAATGTCTTTTAGGGGGGAAAGTAAACATAAAAAACTAAAATAATGTGGTTGCATAAGTGTGCACACCCTCCTATAACTGGGGATGTAGCTGTGTTCAGAATTAAGCAATCGCATTCAAAATCATGTTAAATAGGAGTCCGTACACACCTGCCATCATTTAAAGTGGCTCTGATTAACCCCAAATAAAGTTCAGCTGTTCTAGTTGGTCTTTCCTGACATTTTCTTAGTCGCATCCTACAGCAAAAGCCATGGTCGGCAGAGAGCTTCCAAAGCATCAGAGGGATCTCATTGTTAAAAAGTATCAGTCAGGAGAAGGGTACAAAAGAATTTTCAAGGCATTAGATATACCATTGAACAGTGAAGACAGTTATCATCAAGTGGAGAAAATATGGCGCAACAGTGACATTACCAAGAACTGGATGTCCCTCCAAAATTGATGAAAAGACCAGAAGAAAACTGGTGTGGGAGGCTGCCAAGAGGCCTTCAGCAACATTAAAGGAGCTGCAGGAATATCTGGCAAGTACTGGCTGTTTGGTATATGTGACAACAATTTCTCGTATTCTTCATATGTTTGGGCTATGGGGAGAATGGCAAGATGAAAGACTTTTCTTACGAAGAAAAACATCCAAGCCTGGATAAATTTTGCAAAAACATATCTGAAGTCTTTCAAAAGGATGTGGGAAAATGTGTTATGGTTTGATGAAACCAAGGTTGACATTTTTGGCATTAATTCCAAAAGATGATTGGCACAAAAACAACACTACACATCACCAAAAGAATACCATACCCACAGTGAGGCATGGTGGTGGCATGTGAGAAAATCGTATATGGATTGAAGTGAGCACTTCCTGTAATAAAAGTCACAACTAAGAAGACAGTTAAGCCGACCATAGATGGTTCGAATATCAGCCAGATCAGCAGGGACTGGTTGAGATTCAAATCTTCTGTGAGCAGGCCAACAATCATCAAATTCAGTACAACCAGCTTGTAGGATTTTTCAAGCTATAGTCGCTATGTTTTCATGGCAAAGATAGCTCCCCCCGTCGGAAGAATACAATATCACTATGGGAGGGATTCCCCCATCAACACTGTGGTTGCGTGGCTGGCATTAAGCCATATGATAAGCTACTGTTTAATATTATGTCTAGGCTCATCTTCACTGAAAAATCCTTTTACACTCTTTTTGGACATTTAAATCTACAGTCAGAGTGCTGCAGCCGAAGAATTTGAATGGTTATGTGCAATAGAATTTATTGGCTGAAGAGGAGGGTTGTTGACAAAACAGTGCTGCTATATTACCAGTACAAATTCTGTTAACATATTGTTGAAGAGATAGATGGTAATATGCCCATTATTTAACAAACAGCTATAAAGTCTATGATTCTACAAACCGCCACAACTATGAGTGAGATATGTAATTGGACTAAATATGGTTGGTTAGTATATGCTGGAACTATGAAAGCAGGCCGAAGCTGAATTTTATATATACACTTTAATAAAAGGTGTATTGTCAGGTGTGTTGGTATGACATTGTAAGGTGATTTTTTAATAGGTTGTAGTAAATATTGCTTTTTTATTATAGACATTTTAGTGGTAAACTATTGGAGCCTTCTTTGAAAGGATTCTTTGTACTACCTATTTTGAAGACATGACAGTTTTGTCACCAAAATTTGTAGGTTTCTAAGTGTGTTCAGATGATTTTCTCGTATGCACAGCATGAGTGTAAACTTGACACCTGTGAATTTGAAGGACATTGACACAATCCCTTATACAGCTGAATCCTGAGGAACATCTTTAAAGGCTACATGTTTTTTAAAAATATTTTAAAAAGATTATGTATAATTTTAAAATGTGTTGAGAAGGGAACTCCAGTCTGCATATTTCTCACATGATCAGACAAATGGATAGTCCCAAACTATTACAATGAGTCACTGAAAGTCCTGGGAGGGTTAAAGTCTTGAGCTTTGGGCAGCAGCTATCACAGACTGAAAACTTAGACAATGAGAAGTAAAAAGAAAAGTAGGGTCAACGGTTTTGTTGATATATTTTTCATGTGGGTCACAGGAGCACACTTATTTTTGCACTCCTGTGACCCAGAATCAGTTGGCTAAAACCTGCTGTCAGCTTACATCACAGAACTGCTCCACGGCTCTGAGAGGATCTACACAATAAGGTCAGAATCCACCCAGGTTCCTGACTGGCACCTGACTCAGCCTCTCAGGTTGCCGCTGAGAGTCTGAGCCAACAGCTCACACCCCCTCTCTTGCCTCGATCTCCAGTGAGCTCTGGAGGGGCAGAGCAGAGAGCAGTGCTCAGAGTGGACCTAAAAACTGAGATATCAGCAGTCACATGACAGCTCAGTTCTCAGGCTTGGAGGCAGCAGGAAACAGTTGCAGCATCAGATTGATTTTTTTTTTTTCACTTCTCATATAATCTAAAGAGTTGAATGGGGGAAACAAACAAAAACACACACTAATAGATACTTCCATCCACACAAATGAGGTGGGTGAAGGAATCCTTTCCCTGCCCTCTTTCCTCCTGCATGGACATTGTATACACCGATTAGTGGCTGTAGCTGCTGATCAATGGAAAATTTAACATGTCTCTTCAGCAGAAAGTGATTAAAGAATCGAGCGGGAAAGCCTACACACCAACAGAAATTTCAGCTGGTTCCTACTGGACCGGCCATATTTCAAATCAGTTTATGGCCAGCTTTAGAAAAATTTCAGAATTTTTTGCATGGGACACAAGCTGAAAGACAACCATAAAACTGCTTCAATCAAACCATAGGGTGAAAGATAATGCAGGTGCAGGAAATAGCAGGTGTAACAAGAAGAGCTTGCAGAGCATTAGAAAGGTGTTTTTATCTTTATTGCTCAAAGAATTTTTAAGGCACTCTGTCATCTAACCAAAAAAAGTTTTTGGAACCATTTGGAAGAACCATTTAGTGGTCTTAAAAGGAAAAAAAAAACAAAACAAAATCATCTTTTTTGGTTCCAACTAATTTATATATATAACATCGAAGGCTTGATGTACCAGATTTTTCTATTGAATATCATCATGTGCATTAGTCTCAGACAGAAAGGACCAGCACCTTTTTGAAGCATAAACAAGCTGGGCAGGACAGCGTGGACGAAACAGAATAAGCTCAGAGACATAGGAAACTAGGATTACTAATGCTTTGGAAAAGTGGTCAAGGAAAAAAAAAACCGCTGCAGCAAAGAGACGAATACCTTGCATGAGAGTCTCCCTGCCACTTGGCTCAGAGACATGAAAATAAAATAAACGTGGTGGTGCTAGCAGACAGCACAGATAGTAAGGAAGAGCAGGGTATTTTAAACTGTACAGGTTCTTCTTTGACAGGACAGAACTAGTTATTTATGAGATACCAATCCTGCAGGACAACTTGATCATTGCAACCAAATTCTATATTAAAATACAGTTATGACAAAGAAGCTTGTTATTTCCTTCAGCAAACTATTCTAAGACAGCTAGGCTTCCACAGTGGCAAGTGGGCCAAGTCCTTCCATGCACTGAAATCAAACTTCCTTCTGGGTACACTCAAGAACAGCATAGTGTCCAAATCCATTGCTTTATATATCACATATATTCAAACTGTGCCATGGTAACATATAAAACAATAAGCATTTACTCTAACTGAATTTGTTATACACTTACCTTTACTATCCTCTCCCTCTGCTGCATTCAGCCACCAGAAGCAAAGAGAAATACCTGGTTCACAAGTATGTAGCGCATGCAATTCACTCCTCATTGTGTCAGGTGACAGTGATGCTTAGGCACCCAGTGTTGTCATAGGGGGGTAAGGAAAAAATCCTCAGCCCTGTATTAATTTGAAGTCGCGATTAGAAATTACACAGATATTCACTTTGTTTACAATGGCCGAAAGGAGCAACAGGAATGGTGGTTTGATAACAGAAAGGGTGTTAAGTGGACCCATCATTGTTGCACTGTATGGGCAAAGCATCTGTGAACCTCTCAGCAGTGTAACAAAAAGCTAAATTAAAGTGAGGTGGAAAATATGTATACTTTAATTGGCCTCAATTTTTTAAAAACATACAAATGTGAAACAATATAATTCAGGGCATTCATACTTACTTATTGTCATTGTTTAAACCGTCTTGTGGCTGCTGATACTGACCATTCATTCTGCTCTCTTTGCTGGAACAGAATATTAAAAGGTTGCAATTTTAACATACATTTTAATAAGAAATGTATTCAGTACAATATTGTAAGGGGGAGAAACTATTCTGAAGTATCCTGCCAATATACAATTCATAAGGTAGAAGTAACAAGAATTGCCCCATCCTGTGCATTGTACTTCCTCTTTCATTTCTGTGCCAACTCCCTCTGCCTAAATTCATTTTCTAATGGGTCTTCCAACCACCTTCCGAAAGTATGGGAAACCTTAGACCCAGATAGATAATCTTACAGATAATCTTACAGACTTGGACTGGGAATATTTTGTGTGAGATATTATAAAGGAAGGACAGAAGAAACCCAACTTTAAATCATCTGTACTAAATATCAGCTGAAGATGTCCAAACTATGTGCATTCACAAGTTATCATTAGATGCAATAACTCAAATAACATGAGAAAGCTAACAAAATATTTAACAAAATCTTGTCTTTGGTAAACAGGCCAGGTTTAGCAAAGGTCAGTGTTGCTGTCCACAATCAAACAAGTTCAATTCATGCAAAAGCATAGTAAATAGCGAGGTCACATACACAAAAATTACACAGCAATCAAATTTGATAAGGTTAAGTTAGCCAAAACACACCTGATGCATCCCCAATCCAACACTCATTTCAGCAAGAGCCAAATACAGGATAACCCGTAAAGGCAAACATTTCTGATGCAAGCCCTGGCTCATGAAGATTTTCACACTTGTTGCAAAATTTCAAATCACCACAGACATCTAATGCTAGGCAAAACATATCAACACAATTTGTACCAGTGATTTATGCTGACACAGCAGGCATCAAAAACACAAAAATTCTTACCTAGAGGCCATGAACGGTGTCATGTCTAATTCCAGGGGGAATGACACATAGGTTGTGATCTTCCTCCTTAACTTAGCTGAATGTTCAAACCGCTATGTCCAAAAAGAAAGGAAGAAAAATCTATTGACACATTTGTACGAACCAAAAATACATAAATGATTTACAAAGCAAAATGAGGCTGCGCACAAAAAACAAAAACCACTGATGTATAGAGATCCTATAAAGCTACACCTCTCATCATGTATACCTGTAATAAAATGCTACTACTAAGATAAAACTAAACAGATATGTAATTTAAAGAACTTGAAAGTCAGTATCTTTCAGTCAGTCAGTGAATGTCAGCTTAGTAACATACAGAAAGTTATCAACACAGACAACTGGAACATAAACACCAGCTAGAAGAATCAGTGAGCAGTAAAAGGTAAAGTAGTTTTTTTTTTTTTTTAAAATGAGTGCTCATTCTACAATCAGTAGTAACAAATATGTGGTGCCATGGTTAAATATATGCGAATTTGATTATGTAGGGGTTGAATAGTGCCGGATGATAGCAATGCTAGGGGTTAGAAATGGGGGATGAGACATGGAACAATCTAAGGCTTAGTTTACATCTGTGTTGCTCTTTTTTTTAAAGAAATCTGCAGTGGGTCATATTTTGGAAAGTGGTACAGGCTGACAGGCATTCAGGAGATATTACAGCTGCCTCCTTAATTTCCAAATAGGGTTTATTAATGGGAAAACTGTGCTGCAACCACTAGCCCTGTGTTTGGCTCATGGCTGTAATGTGTTCCTATTTACTTAAAGTGGTTCTAAAGGCAGAAGGTTTTTACCTTAATGCATATGATTAATTAAGGTAAAGAAAAACGTTGCAAAGAGCAAGTAAGTATGACATGTATGCTATTAAAAAAATCCTTTACAAACACCTTAAATGGGTTGCTTCCAGTGTGAAAGGGGGCATAATTTTTGCTGCACCAAGAAACAAAACCCCAGGGCCATGGCATGTGTACAACCCCATCCAGCTGCCTTTGCAGAGGGGCAGTAAAATCAAAGCTCAACCTCCTAATTATACTGCCCCTGACCACAAGTGTAAACAAGCTCTAAGAGTGGAGAAAGGGGAATAGGCAGTTTGTGAGGTGCCACATGCAACATAAACTAAATGTGGAAAACAATTTACCAGTGCCCTTTTACATTTGTATTATACTAGGTCTATACTACTTACTTTGAGATGAAAACAGGCCACAATAGGCAGTTTCTTCATAGTAAGCTGTTTAGTAGACTCTTGGTAACTATGGCAACCACTGCATTTTATTTTGGCACTACTTCCTAGATGCTCTGGTCGTGTAAACCTGAAACAGATTTGAAAAACACAGATCAGTATGTACCGTATCTTACAACAAACAGGCACAGCAAAAAAAAAACAAAACGTAAAACCTTAATATCTTTCAATAAAAAGAGCACAAATTGCAAGTTGTTTTTCTACTCAAATTTAAAGATGTCTTTACAATTTACCTTTGGTGGACACAGGTAAACTTTTACTTGAGCTTAAGTGGTAGTAAAGTCTTGTGCCTGTAGGTAAACCTATAATAAGGCTTACCTGTAAATACAGAGAATATCTCCTAAACGTGTAACCGTATCAACATTTGTAGAAGCCAATGACATCACTGCACTGCCCTCTGAATGGACGGCATACTGACAACAATTGTGACTCACATGTGGCCCAGGAAGCCCGGCGAACCCGGAAGGAAGACCAGGTGAAGATGGAAGCGGTGAAAGCATGCCGCTGGAGGACTTCGATATAAATACGTCTATCATAATGTGCTACTAGCACATTATCACTTAAACTGCCCGGGGCCAATTTCTTTTTTGGACTTTACTCCTGCTTTAAGAATTCTGTCTTCTCCAGCAGATTGGACACAGTATCAAGCAGTCCTGGGCTAAGGTAGGTCAGCAATCATGGGAGATACTGTGCTTTCTGCTTTATATAGGGAGATAATAATACAAACAGAATTAACAGAGCCCAAACATATCTATCCATGCATGGTAAGGCTTTACAACCAATCGATTACAAATACTGTTCCAGACTTGTTCCATGTAAGAGGAATACATACATATAAGAACCTCTAAAACAAAACTTGGCATCATATACTTGAAATTAAACCACCTTGTAAAATGAGCATAATCTAAACCATAAGGAGCTTGCCATTAGCGAATGTCTACCAACAAAAATATTTACTTTGGATATTTTTTTTTTTTACTCAAGCAGATTATATACTGGTGTTTTGTTACCTTCTCAGACAGTCTGTTAAGGTTGTCGTTCCTGACGCATGACTCTCCCCATTCACCACACCACTTTCACCTCCAGGGCTCAGCGGCCAAAATGGGCTTGAAGAACCTGGTAGATCCAAGCTGATGTCCCAAAACGGGTCTATTGTTGTTGAAACCCCACTAGAAGGTAAAACAGACCCAGAATTCATAATACGCAAATATTTATACATTTGTATGCATAAAACTAAGCATTTGCAAGAACACCAACAAAATGCCATACTGTTCAATCCAATAACAGTTTATGTCATGTTTAGAGTAACTAGGCTTTTGACATTTTTACCCAAAGTGGAGTGTCATTTTCATAAGGGTTGAAAATGTTCACCCATAAGAAAATAGAAATTATTCAATTAGCCAATCATGTTACAAGCGAATTTCTGATTATTTACTTCATTTGCACGTGACTGGATAATGAACTGAATCTTCACTCTTTAAAAAGGTGAACATTCTCAATTTTTTTTCCTAATGGGTGAAATATATCTAAGGCACCCAGACCCATCACATGTTGACATAGAATGTTACATACACACAAAAAAAAAGCACCATAAAGTTGAAAGCAAGAGGGTCAAAAAAAAAGGGGATTTTAATCTACAGTGACAAAACCCTCCAACACACACACACACACACACACACACACACACCTCCACCCCATGGAACTACAGCTTTGTAGCAAGCAATAAAGTGACAGGGTCCTGTGCTCTGCACTGTACTTCAAGGTAGAGCTGCAACTAATGAATTATTTCGTAGTATATAAGTTGGTTGGCCAATTGTTTCATTTAATCAGATAAATACCTCAAAAAGTGGTGTGCAATTTAGGTAATATGTAAATAAAAAAAAATCTTGAATATCTATAAGCAGTGGTAAATATAAAATAACCAGCTATATGGTTAGCAAAAAAAAAAGAAAGAAAAAAAATCCACTCTCAGCATAAGATTATATATATATATATATATATATATATATATATATATATATATATATATATATATATATATATTATTATTTCAGTGTTTATATAGCACCAAAAAGTTTGCTCAGCGCTGTACAATATAGTGGGGGACAGTACATGAGACAATACAGTAACAAAACAATATACGAGAGGTTCGAGGGCCCTGCTCTTTCGAGCTTACAATCTAGGAGGGAGGGGATAGTGCTACAGGAGGAAGTGGCTGTGGGGGATGGAGTGGTAGGAGGAGTGGAGGAGATCGGCTGTTAGGCGAGGGAGGGGTAGGCTTCCCTGAGCAGATGGGTTTTCAGGGTGCGCCTAAAGGTGAGGAGGGTAGGTGACAGTCTGATGGATTGGGGTAGTGAGTTCCAGAGGATGGGGGAAGTCCTGGAGAACTCCTGCAGTCGGGCGTGGGAGGAGGAGACTAGGGAGCTAGAAAGTAGGAGGTCTTGTGAGGAGCGAAGAGTACGGGTTGGGTGGTATTTGGGTATCAGGTCGGTGAGGTAGTTTGGGGCAGTGTTCTGAATGGCTTTGTACGTCAATGTTAGTAGTTTGAATTTTATGCGTTGGGCAATCGGAAGCCAATGGAGGGAATGACAGAGGGGGTGGCAGATGCGGAGCGGTTGGTGAGGTGGATGAGTCTGGCCGCTGAGTTCAGGATAGACTGTGATGATGTAGGCCGGTGAGGAGGGAGTTGCAGTAGTCGAGTCGTGAGATAATAAGGGAGTGAATGAGTTTAGTAGTGTCTGGGGTTAGGAACGTACGTATTTGTGTGTGTACATACATACACACTAGAAGTTGAGTCTCGTATATATCATCAGATGTCAATATTGAACCACTTCCAGCCAGTATCAAAATTTTTTGCTACGGATTCTCTTTGCAGCAGAAGTAATTCAAGTGGCCACACTTGAACAGCCACTTGATCACTTCTGTGGGTTGCAGAATATTGACCCCGGAACCGACAACGATTTTGTCACTTCCGGTTTTGGCTATTTGTGTACCTGGCTGTTAGCGGCCAGGTAAGCAGCCGATCAGACCGATCTGTGTCTGATAGGCTGAATTGGAGAGCAGAGATCTGGGGTCTAATAGAAGCAAAATCTTTCCATAAAGAGGACCTGTCACAGTCCATGCTTTCACAAGGGATGTTGTTCATCCCTTGTGAAAGCAATAAGCAGATCAAGAAAAAAAAAAATTAAAGAGACAGCGTAGGAGAAAAAAAATCAAATGAAAAAAAAATTAAAGAGAGTGTAAATAATAAAAATAAATTTTAAATATATAATATTAAAGTAGCATTAAAGGCTGAGACTTATGGATATAGTCATTTTAAATATCATTTAAATTTAATTGTAATGCCCTTCTCTGGGTTCCGATGCTGATCCTGCCTGTACAAAGCACTTAGTGATTGTAAACGTTGCAATTTCTTTTTTGTATTTCAATGGTTTTTATTAATTTTAAACAGTATAAAACAGAGGCAACAAAACACGCCTACGCAGGGGCTATCAATTGCACCGATAGAAAATGCATAATAGAGCAGACAACGCTCTAATTCCAATAAGGCAAAACGTATGCCCACGCAGGGGCTATCAATGGCACATAGGTTGCAATAATCTGAGTTTCACTGATGTTATTGTAACTAAAGACAGCTGTCCACTGTCACATCAAAACAAACAGAAAAGGAGAGAAAAAGAGCAGAGAAGAAAGAGAAAAAAAAAAAAAAAAAAAAAAAAAAAACAAAAACACACACCAAAGAGCAAGGGTCCATGAGCGCCAATACAAAACTCCATCACCTCCCTACACTGGCCGGGGGGAGAGACAATTTCTTTTTTAACAATAAACATGTCATACTTCCCTGTTCTGTGTGATGATTTTGAACAGAGCAGCCTCAATCAATGAAGGCACTCGTGTGGGCTTGATCCCTAAATGCCCTGTGCGCTTCTGTTGGCGCACACAGTGGCTCGGGCCTGTCCCCTGCTCCCTCCTCACAGGATTTGATTGACAGCAAGTGCCAATGGCTCCTGCATCTAAAGTCCTGTGAGGGGGGGGAGAGAGAGAGCAGCGCTGTTCTCGGGCACAGCGCTGGATCGAGATTAGTATTGGGCAAGTATACAGGGCGGCTGGATTCTGGTCACAGAAGGTTTTTTTATGTAGGTAGGTATATATATAAAAAAAAAAAAAAAAAAAAAACCCTTCTGCCTTTACAATCACTTTAATTCACTTCCTTCTCCTGCCTAGGACTACATGTACCTTGAAGCATTGCTCCTCACATATTTACATATTCTCATGCATTTACTGACATGTATGGAAGGTGTACCGAGTTGTATGTGTACTGTACTGTGGATAATGACAATCAAATAATGCATTCTGTATGCAGGCCAACTAATCCAAAATGAAAATTGTTGGCAACTATTTTTTTCTTATCAATTATGGTCTTGTTTCAGCCCTACTTCAAGTTACAGAATTTACAGGCAAGTCAAAATTCCCATTAACTTAATCATACAGTACAGGAGGCAGAGGACTTTTAGTCAGACAATGGGATGTCCCCAAGCAATAAACTGAGATGTAGGCAACAACACAGCAAACATGCCCATAGAAAACAAGTGTCAATCGAACTGAAACATCTAGATAACAGCTTGAAGCACATTGAAGACTGTAACGAAGGGTTAAATTTCTTGATACATTTATTAATTTTGAAACTTATCAGCAGAGGTGTAATTATCCACTCCTAAAACTTTGAGAAGGTATAAGCAGAAGAACAAGAAATGGCCCCGCAAACCAGTGAAATGGTTGCTTAAGCCCATCATGCCCAGTGTCATTAGTACAGTGTCAGTGCTTTTTATTAGCACAGATCACTGTATTAGTGTCACTGGGGATGTCAGTGGCAGTTAGCCAGTTCCCCCCCCAGTGTCAGAATGCCTGCCGCTGTCTCGCTATAAGTTGCTGATTGCCGCCATTACTAGTATTAAAAAAAATAAAAAAAATCCAGTATATATACACCACCATTTGTAGACACTATAGCTTTCATGTAAACTAATTAATATACACTTGGTTTTTTTTTTTTTTAGCAAAGACATGTAGCAGAATACATTTTGGCCTAAGGAAATTTTATTTTTTAAATTTCTTTATTGGATATATTTTTTTTATAGCAAAAAGTAAAAAACATTGTTTTTTTATCAAGATTATCGGTCTTTATTTTTGTTTATAGTGCAAAAAATAAAAAGGCAGAGGTGATCAAATACCACCAAAAAGAAGCTCTATTTGTGGGGGAAAAAAAAATAAAAAATGTAATTTATGTTCAGCGTTGCATGATTGTGCAACTGTCAGTTAAAGTAATCGCCTTATTGCAAAAAATGGCCTGGTCAGGAAGGGCGGTAAATTCTCTGGAGGGCTAGTGGTTAAAGAGCATGTAAACCCAACATTTCTTATTCCTGATATGTGCCTGCTGTACGATAGATACATAGTCAGTTTGGCAGATGGTATTTTTACACCTTCTCAATTACATAACATGTTTTCTGAGACCTCTGATTGCTGTTTTAGAGGCTGCAATGACAAACGATGCTTTTTTCATATATTTTGGTTTGTGAATTGTGAAAAACTACCAAGATGGCAAAGAGTATCAACCTTAGGCAGGCCATAGATTTGCAAAAAGTCTCTCGATTTTTCTTCTGATAAGTGAAAAATTGGTCGGCCGTACAGCCAATTAGAACACCATTTAGAACGAAAATCGGCGGATAAATCCTCTGTAATTGTCACCTCTACAGGAAATGATGTCGTTTTTGGGCGGAAATGCTGTCGTTTGGTGACCTTTCTGTCCCTCCCTCTTTTCGTAATCTGCAGGCAAGACATCAGCAACTTTTCGTTCCTACGAATTTTCTTCATTTATTGTATTAAAATGGCCAAATTAACCCGCAAAAAAAAAAACTGGCCCTTATAGCGCTTTCTGTGTTAGCACTTGAGGAGAAGGAAAAACAACAAAAAAAGAAAGCAAGGAAGAGCAGAGTATGGTGCAAAGACTGGCTTCTGAAATTCGTTCCCTAAGAAACTTCCAGGTCATTGCACATGCGCATTAATTTGTCGTTTAGGAAAATCAGGGGATATTGCCATGAATGGGAAGAAATTTGGTCGTTTTCTAAAAGTTTTTCAGCTCCAACGATATTCGAGAAGACAAAAAAATACGAAA